CAGTTACTTATGCGTGTAGACATTTTATGTCACTTATTAAGCCGCTGGCACGGTCCTGCGTAGCCGCACCAGCCGGCCCCACCCCTGCTCGCCCCTATCACTCCAGCCAAAGCGAAGAAGCACGAAGGAATGTCGGGAGGGGGTCAAGACATTTCTCAGTTTCTCGGCCGGAGTTTGGCTGAGATCGTGGTATTAAATCTGTGGGGAAAAAAAAAAAAATGGCTTCTTGGCGTTTCTGCGGGGCTGGGGTGTTAAGTGGCCTGGACTTTTCTCGAGGGAGTCGAAGGGGACGGGAATCTTGTCACCCCGGGGTCTGGCACCCATGGTGGAGTCCAGTGTGGCCTTAGCTCCCAAGCCTGCCCCTCCCGAGTCCACTCTGGTCCAATTACTCCCAGAAGAGAGCAAGTCGCGGCCACAGCGAGTGATGAGAGCGCTTTAATGGGGCTGCGAGGAGGCGGGGACAGGGTCGGGATGGGGTGCAGCAGTTACAGACACAGGGTCAGGGCCCCTCATCCTCCACTGACTCCACCGGGGCAGTGAAAGGGTCCTGGCAGCGAGTGGGTCTGGCTGGGGACGGGGCGTAGACTTGAGGGAGGTGGGGTCCCAGGGGCCCCAACTGAGGCCCGACAGGCAGTTTTCATCTTTCTGGTAAACAAATGACTGAGAGGAAACCCTCGGCGGGGATAAGAAATGAGGCCCGGGCTAGGCCGGGCACAGATCTGGGTCAGGGACGGAGGGAAAACCCCTTCCCCGAGCTCAGGGCCTGCCTCCACCCAGGATGCGCCAGCGACGCCGGTTCCGGGGTGCGGGGGAGGGGACTGCATCCTGGAGGGGGCTGAGCCCCGCAGGAAAACAAAGTCACCACCCACAGGGCTGGGGAGAGCTCTTCACTCTTTGATATTCAACGAACATGCAAATATATGTAAGTCGGCATGCAAATAAGCAGCATTTTTTGTTGTTTGCATCAGCAGCTTGGGCACTTATTCTGGGCAACTGGGGCGGCGTGTGCACTCCAGTGTTGCCAAGGGCTGGGGATGCGGGGCCAGGATGGGGGGTCGGGGGGGTTCCAGCGCAGGAGGGGTGGGCTGTGCGGCTCCCAGCCCTTCCGCCGGGGCCTGGCTGGCTGGGGCTGGGGCGGGGGGCCCCTCCGAACTGCAAGGCTGCGGGCAGGAGGCCACGGCCTCTAGTACTTAGCGATGTCCCCCTTCTTCAGGATGACCTGTCGCTGCCAGGGTGCCAGCTTGCTCTCATCATAGCCCAGCGTCCGCAGCTTCTCTGACTGCTCCTTCTCCCGCCGCAGCTCCTCCTGCTTCTGTCGCTCCTCCTCTTTCCTGAGGCGGTGGGGGAGGGGGGGCAGACCCGGTGAAGTCTGGGGCCAGATACCCAGGCTGGCAGAAAGGGTGGGGCCAGGCACCAGGCAGAGGCCAGGTCACCCATGCAAGGGGAGGGTTACTGAGGGCGTGGGCTGGGTTGCTGAAGACAGAGGGGCTAGATTGGGGGCAGAATGGGGTTACTGGAGCACAGGGGAGCTATGTGAGTGGGAGGCTGAGGCTGGATTATTGTGGGCTGGGGTGTTACTGGAAACAGAGGTGCTGGGTCACTGTGTGGCACCGTGTGAGGAGGTGGTGTTGCTGGGGTGCAGCAGCAAGATTACTGGGATCAGGACTTCAGTTGTTGGGGAGCTGTCAATATGAAGTATTGAGGACTGGGGTGGGGCTGCTGGGGACCAGAGAGACTACATAATTGAGAGACAGGGACTGAGAATTAGAGACAGGTTATTAGAACGTAGAGGGTAGATCTGCCCTGTTGACAGAATAGTCACTAAGCACATGTGGCTGCTGAGAATTTGAAATGTGGCTGGTCTAAACTGTGATGGATTGCAGGTGTAAAATGTGCATGATATTTCAAAGACTAAGTTTTATTATTATTATTATTATTTGAGACAGGGTCTCGCTCTGTTGCCAGGGTGGAGCACAGTGGTCAGATCATGGCTCACTGCAGCCTCGACCTCCTGGGTTCAAGTCATCCTCCCACCTCAGCCTCCCAAGTAGCTGGGACCACAGGTGTGTGCCACTACGCCCAGCTAATTTTTTTTTTCTTTTAATTGAGTCGGAGTCTCGCTCTGTCACCTAGGCTGGAGTGCAGTGGCACAATCTCAGCTCACTGCAACCTCCACCTCTGAGGTTCAAGCGATTTTCCTGCCTCCGCCTTCTGAGTAGCTGGGATTACAGGTGCGCGCCACCATGCCCAGCTAATTTTTGTATTTCTAGTAGAGACAGGGTTTCACCATGTTGGTCAGGCTGGTCTCGAACTCCTGACTTCAAGTAATCTGCCAGCCTTGGCCTCCCAAAGTGCTGGGATTACAGGTGTGAGCCACTGAGCCCGGCCTGCCCAGCTAATTTTTTAATTATTTTTTTGAGATGGAGTCTCCCTCCATTGTCTAGGCTGGAGCACGAAATGGTGCTATCCCAGCTCACTGCAACCTCCGCCTCCCGGTTTCGAGTGATTCTCCTGCCTCAGCCTCCTGAGTAGCTGGGATTACAGGCATGCGCCACCACACCCACCTAATTTTTGTATTTTTAGTAGAGACGGGGTTTTACCATGTTGCCCAGGCTGGTCTTGAACTCCTGACCTCAGGATCTGCCCGCTTCAGCCTCCCAAAGTGCTGGGATTACAGGTATGAGTCACTGCGCCTGGCCCCACGAAGCTAATTAAAACAAAATTTTTTTTGCATGCCTGGTGTGGTGGCTCGTGCCTGTAATCCCAGTACTTTGGGAGGCTGAGGTGGGTAGATAACCTGAGGTCAGGAGTTGGAGATCAGACTGACCAACATGGCAAAACCTGGCCTCTCCTAAAAATACAAAAATTAGCCGGGCATGGTGGTAGGTGCCTATAATCCCAACTACCTGGGAAGCTGAGGCAGGAGAATTGCTTGAATCCAGGAGGTAGAGGTTGCAGTGAGCCAAGATCATGCCATTGCACTCCAGCCTGGGCAACAAGAGCGAAACTCTCTCTCAAAGAAAAAAAAAGAAAGGCCAGGCGCGGTGGCTCAAATCTGTAATCCCAGCACTTTGGGAGGCCGAGGCAGGCGGACCACAAGGTCAGGAGATCGAGACCATCCTGGCTAACATGGTGAAACCCTGTCTCTACTAAAAAAAAATGCAAACAAATTAGCTGGGCATGGTGGCCAGCGTCTGTAGTCCTAGCTACTTGGGAGGCTGAGGCAGGAGAATGGCCTGAACCCGGGAGGCAGAGCTTGCAGTGAGTCGAGATGGAGCCACTGCATTACAGCCTGGGCGACAGAGTGAGACTCCATCTCAAAAAAAAAAAAAAAAAAAAAAGAAAAAAGAAAAAAGAAAAAAAGACCAGGCTTGGTGGCTCACGCCTATAATCCCAGAACTTTGGGAGGCTGAGGTGGGTGGATCACTTCAGGTCAGGAGTTTGAGACCAGCTTGGCCAACATGGTGAAACCCCGACTCTACTAAAAATACAAAAATTAGCTGGGTGTGGTGGCACATGCTTGTAATCCCAGCTACTCAGGAGGCTGAGGTAGGAGAATCGCTTGAACCCAGGAGGTGGAGGTTGCATGAGCCCCGATCACCACGGCACTCCAGATTGGGTGACAAGAGTGAAACTCCGTCCCAAAAAAAATTTTTTTTTTTTTTTCCAGAATGAGGTCTCACTGCATCGCCCAGGCTGGTCTCAAACTTTGGGGCTCAAGTGGTCCCCCTGCCTTGGCCTCTCAAAGTGCTAGGATTACATGTGTAAACCACCATGCCTGGCCAAAGACTTATTTTACAAGAGGAATATAAAACATCTCACTAATTTTCATATTGATTATGTGTCAAAATAATATTTTTGATATTTTGTGTCAAATAAAACAGTACTAAAATTAAGCTCACCTATATCCTTCTACATTTTCACTGTGGCTACTAGAAAATTTTAAATTGCATCTGTGGCTCACATTATATTTCTACTGGACAGCACTGGGCTGGGTGAGATTACTAGGGGCAGAAAATACATTCTGAGGGCCAGTCAAGGTGATTGATACTGGGGTTAGGTTAATTGAAGGGTAGAAAAGGCCATGCTAATAGGAGGCAGGGACTGAATAACTGGGAGCAAAGTTATCAGAGCATGAGAGAGAGATTCTGGGGGACAGCGGGCTGGGGCATTATAAGGAGGAAAGAGGCTTTGTACAAGGACTAAGAGACAGGAGGATGCACTCAAGTTGGCCTGGATGAAGGGATGACCCTCTGCGACCTGGGTGGGGGTAAGGGTGGCAGGTTGGGGCCAGCCCTGCACTCACCGCTTCTGCTCCCTGGAAGGAAAAAGAGAGTGTCACTTGGTCCCTCCACCTCAGGGACGCAGTCAAGACACCCCGCCAGGCCAGTCTCTGCCTGACCCCCAGCTCACCTCTCTTCTTCCAGCTTCTTCCGCAGGAGGTCCCGCCTCCAGGCGGGCATGCTGGCCAGCCGGGCCTCCTCCTCCTCCTCCTGAAACACAACCACAAAGCTTCAGGGCCTGCAGGGGCTGGGAGATAGGGGGTACCCTCAACCTGGGGACCTGAAGGAGTCAGGGTCACAGGAAGATACCCTTTTGATGAACTTCTGTGGGACAAGTGGATGAAGTGCCTGGTCACAGCCCCTCAGAGCTGGCCTCCTTTCCCCTAGTAACCCAGACCCTTGTGTCCTACAGGAGGCACTAGAGAGATCAGAGCTGAGTGGGACAGAAGCAGAGAATAAGTAGCTGGGACCCAGATGTCCTGAGCGTGATTCCCCACAGGGGCAGGTGGCCAATGGCCACAGGCCCAAGACCTCTGGGCAGATGCAGATGCGGGCCCCCGCCCAGCCTCTTGGCTCAGGGAGACTCCGGCTGCCCCTGGCTCCCCTGCGAAGGACCTTCAGCCCATGGTTGCCCTCTTCCCACAAGAGTGGACATGTGCCGTACATTTGTGGGGCTGCAATGACATCGGGGGCAGGTGTGGTGGCCAATGTAGGCAGTTTACAGCAAAGAGTTTTATTTATCGAATGTTACAGAGGAGAAAGGGTCTGTACACGGCACACTTCACACGGAACACTGCACACGAGGCTCCCTTGACCTCAGCCAAGGAGGTAGCTGTGAACTCCAGTGGAAAACCGGAGAGCAGGCCACACTGCCACAAGGGGGAGCCGCAGCCCCTCACTCAGAGGGGCTTCTGCTGCCTGGCTCCACACAGAGCCCAGCAATGCCACGGGGCCAGAGGGGGACAGCTGGTTTGTTCTGTGCGTGCCCTGCCTATGCGACCAACGCCCCACAGCCTGCCACGATGGGACCTCAGAGGCTGAGGCAGCCTGGTCCTGGGCCCTCCGGGCTGCTCAAGGCCACAGTCCTGGGTTCTTCCTGCTGCTTCCGGCCTCTGGAGGGCGTCAGACAGGCGTCCAGACCCACGTTAAGACGCTGGAGGGTGAACTGCGAATTCCGAATTCCGCTGCTCAGATGTCAAACAGCTCTGCCTCCTTCTCCTTCCAGAAGGAGAAGCTGCGGTCGATGTAGCGGCAGATGTCCTCGTTGCTGAACTCGCCCATCTCAGACACCAGTTCCAAGGGGTCTTCGGCGGGGGCTCCGGAACCAGGAGAGTCTGAGGTCGGGGGAGGCGCAGCAGGCGGGGGCGGCGGCTGCGGCGCAGGGGCCAGGGCCTCGGGCTGCCCCTCGGGCAGGACCCCTGTCTGAACTGGAGCGGCCTCTTCGGTTAGCTCTCGTTCTTTCTCTTCCTTTTTCTTCTCCTGTTCTTCTGGGGCTGGCTCAGCCTCCAGGCCATTCCCGAAGAACCGGTGCCTGAGGTCCTCGAAGCCGTCGCTCCAGCCGCGCCGTCCGGCCTCCACCTCCTCCAGCACCACGCGGTGGAAGAGGCGGATGCGCTCCCACGGGTGGCTGCCCAGCCGGTCGAACATCTCGTAGCACAGTAGGTGGCGGAACTTGCGCTCCTCGCGGCTCAGGCCCATCTCGAGTAGCTGGAAGTAGCCGAGCATGAAGAGGTCCAGCGTGAGGCTGTCGTAGCGCGGGGGTGCGCCGCCGTCCAGGGGCGGCAGGAAGTGCTGGGGCCAGTACAGGCCGTGCGCCAGGCCCGGGCTTGCCGGCACGCGCCGCAGCAGGCTCCGCCAGTGGCCCAGCAGCTTGCCTACCGCCTGCCGCTGCCTCAGCAGCTGCCGCAGTCGTTCGTCGGGACCGTGGGCTGCGCCGTCGCTCGCTGGCAGCCGGGGGGCGTCCGTGGCCTCCAGCTCCGGGCCGGCACCGGCGGCCGCCACACGGGGCAGCAGTCTGCGTAGGCGCGCCTGGGCGCGGCGGCCCGGGCCGCGGAAAGCCCAGCGGCGCCAGTGCTCCAGGAAGAGGTAGACGATGCGCTCTTTGCGCAGGTCGAGGTAGTCCTGGACGCCACGCAGCTCCGTGCAGAGGGGCGGCCGGCGCGCCAGCTGCTCGGGCTCAGGCAGCGCCGCCTGGCGATCCTTTGCCTCGGGCGGGCCCAGGGTGCCCAGGGGCTCCCAGTCGGCCAGCGGGCCGTGGGCGGCGCCGGCCGCCACGTAGTCCTCCTCCAGGATGGGCTCGCGGCCCGGGGCGCCAGAGGACTGCGGGGGCTTGCGGCGCGGACAGCGCGCGGGCTCCGCGCCCCGTGCGCGCAGCTCGTAGGTGGCGCGCAGATGCTGCACTGAGACGCCGCACTCGAGGATCTCGCGCGCCACGGCCTCGCGGCACCAGCTGAGCGAGTGCGAGCGGCCCAGGCACAGCGGTCCGGGCCGCCAGGGTGCGTCGGGCAGCGGCGCTAGCGGCTGGCCGGTGTCAGCGGTCAGCAGTTCCGCCAGGTGCGCAGGCCGGCCGCCCAGCGCGGCCAGCAGCGTGGCCATGCTCTTGAGCAGCGTGGAGATCTTGCTGCACCAGGCGGGCAGGCTGACGGCGCGGCCATGCATGCGGCGCGGGTCGACGGTGAAGCGCGGCGCCGACAGGGCGGCCGAGATGGGCAGCAGCTGCTCCAGCTCCAGCTCCAGTTGCTCCAGGCGCGCCTCCAGCTTCTGCGCCTTGTGCAGCACCTGCAGGTTCTCGATTTGCTGCTCGATGCGGAGGATGTCCGCCTCGGTCATGAGCTCGCCGAACGGCCCAAGGATGGCGTTGTGCTCGCGGGAGTACCTCCAGCCCTCGCGGGGGTAGCAGCACGAGCTGGTGGCCGTCAGCTAAGGCGGGGAAGACAAGAGAGGGGAGGGAGGCGCGTCTCCCTCTGGCCCAGCTCCCGCAGTGGTGCCGGGAACCTTTTGCATGTCCTGGGTGGTGTAATGGCTCCGCGGGGCTGCATCTGCAGGGAGGGACCGCGCCTGGCCGGCGGGGGGTGACGCTGGGGCGTGGCTTCGGCCGAGCCGCCGCTCCGGGCTCTGCGCAGTGTCCACTTTGGTCGCTGGCGGGGGGCACGGCCGGTCGCTGGTCGCTGCTGCGGCGGCAAGGAGAACAGGCCGGCAGACGGGGTCTCCATGCCTGGCTTGTTGGCTCATTACACCACCCAAGGAACTTGCGAAAGGCGTTGAAACTGAGAGGCGCGGTGGCCCTCCCCAACCAATTCGAGGGTGGCTATTGTGAGGCCTCTCGTCTCAGACTCATGACCCCTTCTCGAGCTCCCCTGTGGCCCAAGCTTTCCCGCTCCCTGTGGTCAGTGTTTTATGTGCAGAATGAGAGGCCACTATGCTCTTAAAGAGGCTACAGCTGCAGCTTCCACTGAGCTGCCCACCCACCACCCCCATCCTGCTGGACAGCTGGGCACCGTAATATTCTCATTTGCTCACTTTTCTCCACCTCTGATGTCCAGTTTTCCCCCCTGGGCCTGCCATCACCTCCCCAGAGGTCCCTGATTCATCTTGACCCTATGCGATCCACTCCCCACATACAAAATAGGAAGCAGCCTCTTCCCTGCTTAACACTCCCCCCACCCGGCTCCCCAGTGCTCCGGGAGAAAGTCCGTTCTCTTCTGGGCCGCTGGCCAGATCTTGGTAACCTGGCCCCCACTGAGGTGTCTCCAGCTTAGTGACCCCCTTCCTCCAGGACAGTCAGGGCCACATCCACTGTCACTTCCAGACTGCCCTGTCCCACCTGTGGCTCTTCAGTCCACTCTCCTCCTGGCCACCCCTCACTCATCTTCTAAGTCTCACCTTAGACATCACCTCTTCCTTCCCTAACACACCCCCCAGCCCACATATAAGGTGGTCATTTAGGGTTGCCCCAGTCCCTTCCGTTCCCCATTGCAGCTGGCTGTGTTGCATCAGCCCAGGTACTTCTCTCCACTGCCACCCACTCTCACACTGCCCCATTTTTTGTGCTCGGTGACTCGCACACATGTCCGCAGCCACCTTAGAGCAGGCCTTGATATGTTCACCATGAATCCCCAGAGGCTACAACAGTGTGTGGGGCACATAAATGGCACTCGGGGGCCAGGCGTGGTAGCTCACGCCTGTAATCCCAGCACTTTGGGAGGCCAAGGCAGGTGGATCACTTGAGGCCAGGAGTTCGAGACCAGCCTGGCCAATCTCTACTAAGAATACAAAAATTAGCCGGGCATGGTTGGTGGGCATCTGTAGTCCCAGCTACTCGGGAGGCTGAAGCGGGAGGATCGCTTGAACCCAGGAGGCGGAGGTTGCAGTGAGTCGAGATCACACCACTGTACTCCAGCCTCAATGACAGAGTGAGACCCTGTCTCAAAAAATAAAAATAAATGGCATTTGGGGAACAGTTGTTGGATGAATGAAAGGTAACTCATCCTGCCAGCGGGTGCTGATCAGCCCACCTTACAGAGAAGGAAACTGAGGCTGGATGAGGCTCAGTATTGGCAGCTGGAAGGTGGCAGTGCAGCAATAGAGCCCATGTCCCTAAGACTGAGACCAAAGCCCTCTTGGCTATGCAGTGTGGTCCTTGGACCAGCGTCATCAGCAGCCTCACCCAGGAGCTGGCTAAAATGTAGAGCCTCAGCACCGCCCAGACCTCCTGAATCTGAACAGGCCTTTTAACTAGATCCCAGGTGCTAGGCACGTGAGGGAGAGTCTGAGAAAGGCTGCTGTCTCACTTCCAAGGACAGGCTGCTGGGAGTGTGTGTGGAGACTGGGACAAGCCCCAAACGGGGGCCTGCTACCCTGCTTTCCACAAAGAAAATGGCCAGGCACAGTGGCTCATGCCTGTAATCCCAGCACTGGCCAACATGGTGAAACCCCATCTCTAATAAAAATACAAAAAAATTAGCTGGGCATGGTGGCACGCGCCTGTAATCCCAGCTACCTGGGAGGCTGAGGCAGGAGAATCACGAGCATGGGATTGAACCCGGGAGGCGAAGGTTGCAGTGAGCCGAGATCGTGCCACTGCACAACAGTCTGGGCGACAGAGCGACTCTGTCTCAAAAAAAGAAGAAAAGAAAAGGAAGAAAAGAAAGAAAAAGAAAAGAAAGAAAAGAAAGAGAGAAAGAAAAAGAAAGAGAAAGAAAGAAAGGAAAAAGAAAGGAAGAAAAAGAAAGGAAGAAAAAGAAAGAAAAAGAAAAACGGAAGGCCCCGAGGTTGGGGTTGGGAATGGCATGGGGGATGGGCTGTGCATCCAGATGCAGACCCCAGGGCTCCCTGGGCACCCCGCCCCACCCACCTTCCGCCTCTGCTCCTCCTCCTCCTGCATCTTCAGCTGCAGCTTGCGCACCATCACCTGGCGCTTCCACTCGGGGATGGGCCGGCCCTGCTCATCGTGCGTGGGGATGAGCGCCTCCACGTCCAGCTGCACGCCCGGCGCAGGAGTAGTGGGCGGCACCGGAACCAAGCTTCCATTGAGCAGCGGCTGAAACCCCGCAGCTGGCGGTGTGGGGCTCCGGACTGGTGACAGTGCAGGTGACACAGACGGCAGCGGTGAATCGGGCTGCAGGGAGAAGCGGTGGGGCTGAGCGCCCGGTGGCCTGGGGCCAGGGAAGCCGGGTCGCAGGCTCCTGCCAGGCCCGCCTACCTGGAAGGCCGGCTGCCCGCTGCCTGAGAACACTGTGGTCAGTCCCTTGCTTTGCGGCGTAGGCTTCAGGCTCTTGCCAGCCTTAATCTCAGCCAGTAGCTCCGAGTTGTCGCCCGTCGGGGACATCATGTTGAAAGACTTGGTGCCTATGCAAAGGCAGGAGATGAGGCACTGGCCAGGGTGGGGCTGCATCCCTGCCACCCCTCACCCGCCCCTCTGCAGCCCCCTTCCCAAGCCAAGATTGGCTGGGTGCCCATCCTCGGCCCCAGCAGGCAGCTCTCCAGATCCCAGGTCCCACAGGCTGCTTTCAGGGCCCCCAGAGGCGGGCCCTTGGTTCCCCGACTGTGACAACCCCACTATCCTCCCCACCCTACTCACGGGGTGGAGGGCCCCCGCCTGGAGGACCCTGGGAGTTCATGGTGGCTCTTGGGCATATGTCCCCGCCCAGCCACTGACTGCCCAGCTCCAAAACAATACCTGGAATCAGCCACCCGACCTTTGTCCCAGGTTCCCTGGCTCAGCCCGGCTGGGGTGGAGCCTCCCTCTGGCCCTCTCCCTACATCAGCAAAGCCTCAGTGACCCTTGAACTGAGTCAATTGGGGCCTCCATGGACATACAGAGTCCGGACCCTGGAGTGTCTGTACCCACCTGGTCCCCTCCCTCCCCACCACACCCACAGACAGACGCACAAGCAGACACATTGTTTGCAAGCCGGGAGCACATTTATGGCAAAGCGAGGCTCAGCTCTAGGGGCCCAGGAAAGCAGGGCCCTTACTGAGGCTACGGCAGGCACCCAGGAAGAAGGGCAGGTGGGTAATATGCAAATACACAGGGCAGAGGGTGCATTTTCCAGCTTAGCCGGAGGAGGCAAATGGAGATTTGGAGAGAGGTCTCTTGAGCCCCGATGAAGGGGTCAGGTCCGGGAGGGAGGAACAAAATGGGCTGATAGCTCTTGGATTCCCAGACTGGGGATCCCAGAGTACAGTCACAGGGAAGAAAAAGAGGAGAAAGGGAAAATCGGTGTGGCTGGCTCATTTATTTAGGCAAAACCACCAGCCAGGCGCAGAATGCTTAGGTGCGTATGTGGGTATGAGGGTAGGTATGAGGTGCAAGGGCCCACCCATGCATCGAGTTTCTCTCGCCTGCCAGCCCCTGCCCTTTCCTCGAGTCTGGGCCCCTCCTGCCTTGCTTTTCCTGCCTCTTCCCCCAACCCCCCGCCTCAGCCTCAGCCAGGAGCCACGCGCGCAGCTACTCACTCTTCCTGTGCCTCAGGACTCTCACTTCTAGGGACCAAGAGGAGAGAAGTGACAGTGGAGTTAGGAGGGAGAGGGGACCAGGATGAGACTGGGACAGCAGGGGACAGGGAGCGGGCCAGGGAGAGCGGGGGGAGGGGGAGTGGAGAAGAGAGGAGGAGCTTTTCTGCCCGTCTGGCTCTGGCCCCGGCTGCTCTGGGGCCTCATGAGGGTGGTCCATCGAGTTCCCGGCTTGGCTGGTGCCCCTGAGGGCTGGACAGGGCCACCACTGGCTCTAGCCCCTAGCAAGGGCCTCCACCTTGGCACTGGGTTGTGGTAGGGCACCCAGCCCTGGCTGTGCTGGGTGGGGGTGTCTGGGGAAGTCCAGAGTATTTTTCTCTGCCCTTAGCTTCAGCCCTGCTGCAGGCTGTGGAGGGAAGGAGGAGGAGGCTTGGCAGGTGCTGGACATGCTTCCATGGGCTCTGGTCTGCAGGGGCTGGGGCTCCACAGGAACCATAGGGGGACAAGCTCTGCTCTGCACTCCTAATCAGGGAGACAAAGCTTTGGAGGGTGCCACTAAGCATGATCTCTGCCCTGAGTGGCTGGGTGAGGAAGGCATCCCAGCCAGGCTGAGATGGGAGCACCACATCTAGACACCCTGTCCTGGGCCTTCTAGGTATCCTGGCAGGGGGACACTGTCCCACCCTACAGAAAAGCAGCCCAGGAATCCTGCACCAGTCTAGCTCTTAAAAAAGGATGCCTAGGGAAGTCACCGGGGAGGGAGGGGAAAACATTGCCCCCATAGCCAGGCCCCGGGTGGCCCAGGGCCCCTGGCAGGAACTGGCTAGGAAGAGTTGCTGGCATATCTAAGAAGGCTTCAGGTCTGTGCTGCTTGGAAGGACAAGAGAAAGACATGGAGAGAGGAAGAGAGGCTCAGGATAGAGGGGGGCAGGGGGAAGAGTGGCCAGCTGCGGGGCCTCTCTGAAGCTGGTTCTACTTCAAGTGTTCCTCCAGCACCAGCTCATTGGAAACGCCAGCGCCAGAGCTGGGAGACCCTTTCTAGCCGGTGGGAGGCAGGCCCAGAGAGGGGAGGGGACTTGCCCAGGCCACACAGCTAGGGGGTGGGAGGCAGGCCCAGACTGGGGAGGGGACTTGCCCCAGGAGCACAGCCCGGTCCTGCTTTGGCAGGACCTCCAGCAACCCAGAGCCCTCTCTTAGGGTCAAGTACTCAATGGGGTAGGGGTGGCCGGAAGAGCATGTAGAAGAGGAAGGACCCGGGCAGTGACAGCTGGGGAGGGGGTGGTGTCTAGATTTCCCTCCCCTTTCAGGGCTAGCGCCGCCCCCCACCCCTCAACCTGCTCCTACTCACTGCCGGTGGATGAAGAGGAGCGGCGCTGCCCGCAGCCAGGGCCAGCGCCCTCAAGGGGCAGAGGCGGGGCCGGTGGCAGCGAACTCGCGGCCTCGGGCAGGGGCGGCGGTGGCGGCGGGGGCGGCGGTGGCAGCTCCCTGGACGCCTTGGGGTCCGCGGCACAGCCGTTAGGCACGTGGTTCCCTGGGAGCAGCGCCGCCTGCGGGGGAGCAGAGGGGCCTTCGAGTGAGCCGCGGACGGCAGGGCCAAGGCGCGGGCAGCCGGCGGGCGCGGGCTGGCAGGCACGCACCTCCTCGCTGTGCGCCATGCCTGGACGTGCGGCCAGCGTCTCGCCCGGGCAGCGGCCCAGCTGCCGGTAGTAGTCCCCCGTGCTGGGCTGCTTGCTGAAGGCGCGGGGCTTGCGGCCGGAGTCCTGCCTCCGCAGCCCGTCGTGGCCGTCGCAGGAGCTTGGCTGCAGGAAGACAGTGACCGGTGGGGCTCGGGCACCTGCCGGGTAGGCGCCCCCCACGCCTCCCCACCCAGCCGTTCACCTCCTGGGGGGACTCGCGGCCAGCGGCCGTCGAGGGGTGCAGCAGCCGTCTTCCTACATCCCCTGTTCTCAGGGCGGGCACGGGGAGAGGGTCATGGGGGTGTCGGTGGAAGGGCAGGCTCCGCCCGCCTTACAGGGAGGGGTTCTGGGCACCGGCCAAGGGGCACAGGGGCCCCCACTGAGGCCAGAAGGGGCGGGCCCAGGGGCGGGGTGGCCCAGCCCCGACGCCAGGGGGAGCTGGAGAAGGGGCACCTCCCGGTTTAGCCCTCACTAGGCCCTTGGCCGCACCCCGCTCTCGGCTGTCAGACGGACTGCGGGTCCCCAGGGCTCCGCGGAGCCCAGTCTTTCAGGGTCCCGGCCGGAGGGAGCCCCCTCCAGAGCCTGTGCTTTCCGAGGCTCCGGCTTGTCCCGGACCCCGGTTGCCCATCCGGGGGCTGCTCCTACCTGCCACGGTGCTGGTGGCCCCCGCTGTGCACCTGGCGGCGGGGGTGGCAGGACCCGACACCTGCGTTACCTGATACTTCCTCTCAGGTTACAGCCGCCCGCACACGGCCAGCCTATGGGCTCCGACGGCCTGACATCACCCGGGGCCCGCCAATCCCAGGCCGAACCCCCCAGCCGTGGCGGATACCACGGGGGTGCCAACTACCTTGCCACACCTGGCCGCAGCTCTGCACCCGCCCCAGGCCAGATGTGACCCCGCCCCCTGCGCCTCTCCCTAAGCTGGGAGCTGAGCCCCCACCTTCATCCTGGGCAGAGGGGGCCTCTCATATTTGGCCCCCGGCTCCGGGTCGCGTCCCCCTGCTTCCCCTCCTGCATCTGGAAACCATCCCCATCCGAAAGCGACACCGACACCCGCGCTCAAGCCTCGGGTTTCAGGGGCCGTAAGGCGGGGTCGGGTGACAGCGTGGCTTCCCGCCCCGTCGCAGCTGCCCCCAAATAGGCCCAGCTCAGTGAGGGAGAGTGAGGCGGCCCGGCCAAACGCTGAGTGACGGAGTGGGGGCTGTCCCCTGCCCCACTCTCCAGCCCCTGCGTCCCTGAGGTGGCCTCAGACCCTTCACCCCGCCCGACCTGGCTCACGTTGCAGGAAACGCGACACCGCAGGATTTGTTTTCTGGGCCAGCCCGCCCGCTCCGCGCCCCCTGCAGCCCAGAGGCTCGGACGCCACGACCCTGCTCCCGCCCTCGGTCAGGCACCGGCGCGGGGGGCGCCGCGGCCACACAAAGAGCCCTTTGTGGAGTGTCCGGGTCCCGGCCCTGGAGCCTGCGGCCCAGCACGCACACAGCCGGGAGGGACGCACACAGCCGGGAGGGGCGCACCAGCCGGGAGGGGGCTCACAGCCGGGAGGGGCACACACAGCCGGGAGGGGCGCACTGAGCCGGGAGGGAGGCACACACCCGGGACGGGCTCACACGGCCAGGAGGGGACCACGCAGACCTGGCACTTGGGCTCACCGGTGGAGAGGGGACACTGGCTGGGCCACCTGTCCTGTGGCTTTGGGCGGGGCCCACAGGCTGGGCTGGGAGCTCAGCGATTCCAGGGCCCCTGCAGCCCTAGCTGGCCGGCCCCCTCTGCCTCCCAGAGATGAAAGGGGAAGCTACTGTGGGAGCTTGGTCTAAGGTAGCATGAAGAGGGCAGCCACTGGAACTGGCCTGCAGGTTTGGTGTCCCTCCCATGCCTCCCTTGCCCAGTGGCCTTGTGACCTGGGTCACCTTGTATAAACTGGCCCTGGGATGGCTTGCCTTGGGCTTAAGAGAGAAATGCAAGGTCCCAGGCTCCAGCAGGACCCCAGAGCGCTGCCACACCACATCTGGCCACCTGTGACCTCAGGCTGTCCCCTCACCTCTCAGGCCATCCTTGCTCTATTCCTGTGGCCAGAATGCCAGTGTTCCCCAGGTCACCCTGCCCAAGATTCCCAGAATTGCTCAGACCAGACCTCTGCCCCCACTCCTGCTCCAGAGCCTCAGCCAGGGGCCTGCAGCCCCCAGACATCCCTAGGTGCCTCACACTCCACCTGCCTGCCCTGGCCTCATCCTCTCCACACAGGCTCTGCTTCCCTCCAGGGCTCCCAGCTCAGGCCTGGCCCTTTCCCCCAGGATCTCGAGCCCTAAACTGGAACTAGCCACAGCTTCACTTCCTCCCAGCCCCCACTGCCGGTGGGCACCCAGCCCTGCTAGTGCCTGCTCACCTTCCCCCCACACTCCTTCCAGCCCTCACCTCCACAGCCATGCCACTGGCACCTTCCACCTGGCAGCCACCTCCCTTGGGTAACACTCTCTGACAGCCTGGGGCTGTGGGGGTGGTGGGGGCATGCTTGGGGAGGGGCAGTCTCCATGAATTCTCTGTCAACTTCATGACAACCCAGCCACTCTGTGCAAGAGGTGGCACAGGCCCAGTTCCTGGTGAGGCACAGCTGTCTGGACCTGCGTCCTTCACTCCCCGGCTCCCATGGAGGGCGGTGACCTGCTCTTACTCTCCTCCCAGTCCAGTGTCCACCCCGACCCCTCATGGGACTCGCCAGGAGCTTTGACTCTTGAACATGCCATGGACCTAGGGACCCCCACCCTATGCCCACTAGTGAGGCCAGGCCTTTGGCCTCACTGGCCCCCATCGGCCTAGTCCTCCTGCCGGGAGGCAGGCAGGGGGTGAGGGCTCACTACCTCCTTCTTGAGGGCCTCCGTCTGCACGTGGCGGAGTTTGTTCTTCGTCTGCATGTAGATGTCAGCTGCCTGTGGTCCCACAGGAGGCTTGGGAGCTGGGTAGCCAGGTGGGGGTGGGGGCAGTTGGGTGCCTGGGGGCGGGGGTGGCGGGGGAAAGCTGGGTGGGGGTGGTGGGGGTGTGGGCTTCCCAATCATGCCCTGAGGCAGGCCCAGCTCCGGGTTCAGCATGTCCATGTAGCTCTGTATGTCTGCAGCTCTAGCGCTGGAAAGCTCTGGGGAGGCAGAAGAAAGGGCCAGATTTGGGAGCTTGCGGACAGGCTGTTCCCCAAGACAGACTCTCCGCCACCTGGAAACAACTTGCCGAGGGCCACAGTGGGCTCCAGGGCACCACTTGGTACACTTGCTGTGGCCCCTGGCGGTGCTGGGCCTCCTCTCCCTGGCCCTGCCCTGCCCCAGTCCAGCACTTATTGGGGGAAGATCAGGCACCCTGGTTTGGAGGGGAAGCACCGAGGCTTTGGTGTGTCTAGAGGGCAGGGTCACCTGGAAGGGAAGTCTACTCCTTGGGAGTACGGATGGCCACATCTAGTCTTTGCAGGGCACCCCTCCCGGGGCTGGAGGCCACCATCTGGCGGCGTAAACCAGGCATTGCAAGTGGACAGACGCCCATGCTCAGGGCATGGTCAGGGTGTGTGTATACACATGCCTGCAGTCTGCTGAGGCGACTGTGCATTTGTGTGTGTTTGAGTGTGTATGCATTTGTGCACGTGCTTCTTTGTACTGATGAATTTGTGTGCATTGCCCTATGGACATGGTTGTGTGTGTGTGTGCATATCTGTAGTATGGAAATAGAGCATTGTGTGCTTGTGTATAAGATGGGTGTGTGCAGATATTAGCATGGCTCTGTGTGTGTGTTCATATTTGTAGGCTGTATGTACACATGTACAAGCGTGTGCTTTTGTGTGTGAGTAGCTGAGAATAATGAATGGTGGGCGGCACATGTGGATTTTGTGTGTGGGGAGAGTACATGTGGATGTACACCTGTGTTTGTGATGAGCACACACACGCATGAGTGACATCTGTTTCTCAGCAGAAGGGGTGTCTCCTCCCCATGTTTAAGAGCAAGCGATGAGGGTAGTCTCTGACATTGGCTATGGCAGGGTGGCCCAAGGCCAACCCTCACAGCCCAGTGGTCTGGCTTCAGTCTGCTCTCCCTCCCCCTCTTCCTCCTTGGGCACACTCACCGCGTGGAGGGTGCTGGCCCTTGATGCTGGAGTGGCTGGAGGAGCAGGAGTCATAGTTGGAGAGGGTGCTGGTGGGCGAGCTGAGGTCAAAGTTCAGTGGCTGGACTGACACCGTGGTGTTGGGTGAGGACATGCCCGAATCCAGCTGCTTCGCCTCCAGCTCTGCGGATGGATCCCGGGAGAGCACGCGGTGCTCCACACTCTGAAGGGGAGGCAGAGAAGCCATGAAGGCAAGTGCTCCCCAAGATGTGTTGCTCTCCAGGCTAGGGTCCCACTCAGCCACGCCTTCACTGTGGGATCTCGGTCAAGCCACACCCCTCTCCGGGGTCTCTTCTGCATCACTGGAGGGTCTCTCAGGTTCCTCCAAGTTAAGATTCAAGCCCAGCCCCGCCAGGCAGCAGGACCCAGGTTCCTGGGAAACTCCCTCGCCTGGCTCCTCCCTGATTAGGAGGGTGGAGAGATCGACGAGGAAGGGGCCTTGAGCTGCACCCCAAGGGGAGAACTGCCAGGAGATCGGCCTTCTCCCTTAAGGATCAGAGGCTCCATGGGGAGGCGCACAGCACAGGCCCATCCCTAGTTATCCGGCTGACAAGCTAGCGCTCCTTGCCGGACCTGGGACTTGGGGCAGACTCCCAACACCAGCCCGGCCTATCTCCTGATGGGGCCCTTGGGGTAAGAGTGGGGCCTGGGTAGCCAGCTGAGCAGTGATGGGCAGCCAGAGCTCAGGCTGCCAGGCCTGCCATTCCCCCGCCCTGCCGGGTCTGTGCCTCTGACCACAGGCCTGTCCCCTCCCGGTGCAGAGGGGGATGGGGTGGGGGCCCTGCTTACATTGCCCATGCTGCCCCTGCTGCCGGCAAGCCCGCTTGCTCCGCTGCCTCCTACCCAGGCGTGCTCCTCCTTGCTCCGTGCCCCCTCCCTGCCTAAGAAGTGTCACAGGCCCCCTGGGAGAGAGAGGCAGGCCTGGCACCAGGTAACGGCTCGGCGGCTGCGCTCATTGGCCCCGTAATTAGGGGCTCTGTGGGAGTGTTTGCCTTTTCTGGGCCAGCATCTTCTGTGGCTTGGATCTGTCACTGCCGAAGCTGGGCCTGCTTGGGTGAGAGAACCAGGGCACACCCCCCCCACCCATTCCAGGGGACCAGGCCCAGCTGCCTACCCCAGGAGTCAGGGGAGCTATAGGAGGTGGCTTGGGCAGCACCCAAAGGCGCTCTTTACCTGGCCAACAGCAGTGGGTGCTGAGGGCACCAAGCCCTGACCCCTGTAGGCAGCAGATAAGAGGCTGAGCCACAGCAGGTGTACTGCATCTGCCCTGAGTCACCCAGCTCTGCAGTCTGGGACAGTGGCTTCAAACTTCCCCTCCCCTACTTACTAGCTGTGTCATTTTGGGTGAGTCACCTATGCTTTTTGTGCCTAAGTTTCTTCATCTGCAAATGGTGATAACAGCACTACTTGCCCTGCTGAGCTCCAGGACATGGCACCCAGTAAATGACATATAGTCAACTATTTTTTTTAGATGGAGTTTCATTCTTGTTGCCCAGGCTGGAGTGTGGTGGTGCGGTCTCGGCTCACTGCAACCTCCACCTCCCAGGTTCAAGCAATTCTCCTGCCTCAGCCTCCTAAGTAGTTGGAATTACAGGTGCCCACCACCACACCCAGCTAATTTTTGTATTTTTAGTAGAGATGGGGTTTCATCATGTTGACCAGGCTGGCCTCGAACCCTGACCTCAGGTGATCCACCCACCTCAGCTTCCTAAAGTGCAGGCATGAGCCACCATGCCTGGCCTGTCAACTTTTTTTTTGAGATGGAATCTTGCTCTGTCACCAGGCTGGAGTGCAGTGGCGCAATCCCAAAGTGCTGGGATTACAGGCGTGAGCCGCCGTGCCTGGCCTAAGCCACCGCACCCAACCAACTATATATATATATATATATATATATTTTTTTTTTTTTTTTTTTTTTTTTTTTTGAGATGGAGTCTTGCTCTGTGGCCCAGGCTGAAGTGCAGTGGCGCGATCTTGGCTCACTGCAAGCTCCGCCTCCCAGGTTCACGCTGTTCTCCTGCCTCAGCCTCCTGAGTAGCTGGGACTACAGGCGCCTGCCGCCTCGCCCGGCTACTTTTTTGTATTTTTTAGTAGAGACGGGGTTTCACTGTGTTAGCCAGGATGGTCTCGATCTCCTGACCTCGTGATCCACCCGTTTCGGCCTCCCAAAGTGCTGGGATTACAGGCTTGAGCCACCGCGCCCGGCCTATATTTTTTAATGTACTGTGAAGAGTAACTGAGATTACACCTTTAAGGCACTCGGCAGGGTACCTGCCTAAGTCAGAATCCAATGAGTGGTGTTTGCTGTCCTATGACCACTAGCAGTTGCATCCAGAGAGGCCCTCAGGTGCCCTGGGCCCTAGTGCCACCCCACGGTCCCTCAACAGAGTCACAGACTCTCTTAGCTAAGGGATACCCACCATTGATGCAGCAAAGCCCTTCCCAGTGTCCATCCTGGCTTATATACCCTAGTGACAGGGTGCTCACTACCTGCTGGGCCACTCATTCTCTTCCGGAGACTCTTTCTGGGGCGGAAGTTCATTCTCAGGCCCGCCTGCAGCCTCTGGCCTTTGGGCCTTGCTATGTTCTGCAGCCCCCAGAGCCAGGACCATCCCCCTGTGCTGGCAGGGAGGGCAGATGCACCGACGGTGCTCAGGGCACAGACCACTGCCTTCTTCCCTCCGGGCCTCATTTCACAGACCCTCCATGGCCAGGCTGCCCCATGGAGTTAGTTCACATCCTTTTGGGGTTGGCTGCGAGGCCCACTCTCCTCCCTGCCTGTTGCCTCAAAGCAGGCATTGTACCAGCTGGTGCAGAGCCCTGCACTTGGAGACATCCACAGCTGAGTTCAAGTCCCAGCCGGTCACTTCATGGCTGTCTCACCATAATAACATAATTTAAAAAGAGTAGCATGGGTTTCCAGCTATGAACCAGCCGTGAAGTCAGCAAATGTACAGTGCAGGGGCTGAGAGGTGGCTCCTGGCCAGGCCATCAAGGCAGGTTCTCCACTCTACCCCTTACTGGTAATGTGATCTTGGTGCCCCGCAGACTCAGTTTATCCATATGTGGAACGGGACACTTACACTGTCTTCTGCAGAGGTGGCTGTGAGTTATACCCAAGCTAATGTCTATGGGTGGGTGAATGAGCCTAACTGTTCCCAATGGGGCCTGTCTTGTGATTTCTCCAGCCTTACCCCTTGGGGTGACCCCGTTCTTCCCTGTCCTCTTTCTGTTAACCTTTGTGCCTCTAATCCCTCAGTCCCCAGTAGGCAGTGGTTCTGGGCTGAGAGGTCGTGTGGGGTAGTGGGCTTCCCGTCCCTGAACCGCAGCTTCCTCCTTGGTAAAAAGGGGTGACGACACCCACCACTGGGGTGGAGGGGCGAGAAGAGAGAATGCTACAGGAGCAGCGCAGGGATCGTACCAGGTTCTCCACAGTGCGCAGGTAGCGGGTGCAGTGGCTGTGGCCGTTGAAGTCCGACAGGTCGGCGGCCGTGTACCCGTCGCGGTCGCGGACGTCCAGCTCCGCGCCATTTACTACCAGGATCTGGCAGCACTGCGGGGGCACGCATTGAGGACCCGGCCCCGGTCAGGAGCTGGGACCCCCACACCCGGGCAGGGCCATGCCGAGAGCGCGGTGCCAGCAGAGGGCGCGCGCCCCAATCCCGGACCCGCGCTGACCTCTAGCTCCCCGTTCTCGGCGGCGTCGTGCAGTGGGGT